TCACCTTATGACTGTTAAAGTCAAGAGAAACAGAAAATTTGATCAGACTTAGAATATGGGTCTTCAAAAAAAAGTTTCCCTCCTTGCCTTTCAGGGCTTCCATAGTAATTTGTATGTCAAACTTAATGTAAAACAATAACATTATTTTTATTCTCTGAGACCATGTTGTACTTGACATTTTCATTTAGTTTCATCCTTTACTTGAAGTCAAACATTATCCCTATAAACTATTTCACTTTTGTTCTTACAAGTTAAAATAAAATAAAACAACAGCAATGCCAACATCTTAATAATGAGTTTTAATTACATTCCTGCTACATAAAAACATTWTATTCTCTGCACATCAAACATGGACTTACTCAAGCAACGAGTCCATTCAATTTTAATTTAACAAAATCACCTTGAAATATTTTCCCAGAGACAATGAGTTTAAAGGCAGACCTGAACCAGCTATAAAAGAAAGCATAAATAAAAGGATTCAGCATTGAATTAGACAATGTGAGCCAATTAAGTGTTTCAATCAGAGGAACTGGCACATTGTTGGTAAAAGGCAGAAAAGTAATGCAAAGGAAAAAAGGAGTCCAACAAAAAAGAAACACTCCCAGAACAATAGCCAGAGTTTTGGTGGCCTTTCTCTCCATCTTATTGGCAGCTACTCCACATTTCATCCTAGTTTGGATACTTCGTGCCTGTCTCTGTGCAACAAGGAAAATCTTCAGGTAAATACACAAGATTATGACAACTGGAAAGTAAAAAGATAAAACAGGTCCAATTGTGTTTGCCATGAGAATGTCAATAAAACATGTTTCCTCACATTGTTCATTATTTAATCCAGAGATGGTCACTCCAATTCCTATGAGTGCAGAAACACCCCAGCTTACAGCTATCATAATGACAACAACATGACGGCTGATTTTAGATTTATATGTTAGTGGCTGACACACTGCATAATATCTGTCAACAGAAATACAACATAGGTGCATTATAGAGCAAGTGCTGAGCAATATATCAAAGCTACTTCGTACCTTACAGAACAAACCTTCATGATACATGCATGAGCTAAGAGAGAATGCCATGCTAAAAGGAAATACTATAATCCCTACAAGCAGGTCAGCTACAGCCAGAGACAGAATCAAGGAGTTAGTTGGAGTTTGGAGCTGTTTGAAGTAAATGATGGAGATTATCACAAGGAGGTTTCCACATACTGTAACAACAGACAAAAATGTAAGGAAAGCATACAACAATACACAGATAGTGGCAGGAGTTGTGGTAAACTTGTAACTCAAATGATCAATCTTATAGCATGGATGTATATAAGTCACAGCATCCGTTGTGTTGAAACTACTTTCTGTTTCCATGATGACCTAAAAAATCAGATGCAATATAAATAAAATATTTAGAAATAGTATTAAAAATTAATTCAACTACATTTTCAGAAAAAAATACATGATTAATTACCTTTGTGAAATTACTGATAAAGACTTACAGTAAGTTAGTGCATCATTGCTGGTGATAGCTCTGGGCTACATCAGACTATGTGCATGAACCTTTATGAGATRGTCACCACCCACATTTGCAACACTACAAAATTTTGTCCAATAAGAATTGGGAACTGCAGAACTTTGGAAAGCAATCTTGGCAAGTATGGCAATGTGTGTATGTGTGATCACAGATCGCACATATACGGATCTAGTAAGAGTGGATAGCACAAATAAAAATGCACAGTGTAAACATCACTGAAACACTAAATATGTCCTCCGGCCAAAAAGAGGCCTGCTGACTCATAACAAGACAAAAATATTTTTACAGACACAGSTATTAAGTCATAGTGTTCTTCTAGACTATTACTGAGTGTGCGTCTATTTGTTGGAATGACGCTGCTCAACCAGTAAGACAGGTGTGACCTAAGCAAAGTATTCCAGGAAGTTGACTTGAATCGGACTCTTTTTCTTTAGTTTGTGTGTCTAGAGAAGAGTAGTAAGATTAACATGGTCTGAAAACAAGCCTGAAGTCAAGCCAAAAGACAAGGTAAAATCATTTTAATACCATTTCAAATTTTACCTCTTATCGTGTTAAAGATGGTTCTACTAAAACAACTTTAATAAACTTCAGAGGGGAATCCTATCCCCGACTATCCTTCATGTTCTTTTCATTCTTTATTAAAAGGTTAACAACGAAATCTAGTACTGGCTGAAGGTAAACAAAATTTGTTCAACGTTTTAAAAAAAAAAACATTTTTAATCTTTATTTCTTAAGTTCAGAAATGTGTGCTAAACATATATAAAACAGATCTCAGCTCATTCAGAAGATGTCACATCATATTTTTGAAATATGAGCTTTGATTTGGTTTTAAAATCAGGAAAATATAGACAAATCTGTTGATTTCATTGGCTTTTAAATATTAAACAGTAATGTAATGAAAATGTAATGTTTTTGCCTGAACGCTTAGAAAAATTCAAACTAGAACTAACACGTCTAGACTAAAATGTATAATCTTTATGAAACTGAACAGTATCACAATTTTTATGTTGAAGCAACAATAACATCCATACATTTAATTTTATTTGATCTGCAAATCCTTTTTCTGCAGTGCAAAAACCTTCACTTTTGTGCTGATATAGTTGTGAAAAGATTAGGACACTCTATGAAAACCTGTGTATTTTTCAACATATTTGGACATGTGGATGTGTGTGTGTGTGTGTGTGTGTGTGTGTGTGTGTGTGTGTGTGTGTGTG